CTTTTACAGCTTTTAAAATAGGTAAAAAATGAATTCATAATGCACTACATAAGGTATATGTAAACACTCCTTAAATGCAAAATCTAAGCTTTAGAGTTACAAGCTAACATTAAAACAGGTTATAAGCACACATTTCCCCAATGATTCCCAGCTATCCATTAAGTGAAACGCAGTGTAGGAACTTACCAAACTGCTGAATTGCTCTATCAGCACTCCAGGGTAATTCCAAAGTCATATGAACTCTTCGCCTTTGATTTTTAGCTCTCCGATCTGCTTGTAATGAATACCAGAGCTGGCAGCTTCTGAGATGATAGCATATTTCTGCATCAAATGTAAGAGGGAAAAAATTACCTCTGCACAGGAATAAGCAGGGTAGTGACTTATTAAAGTCCTTCAGTGAACTTCTGGTGGTCCACTAATAACTATTCTCGCCTTCTTCCTCTGACCTCCAAATTTAGCTAAGTACATGGCTGCCCAGAATCAAGATTTTTTTTTTTTTTTGAGACAGAGTCTCACTTTGTTGCCCAGGCTAGAGTGAGTGCTGTGGCGTCAGCCTAGCTCACAGCAACCTCAATCTCCTGGGCTCAAGCGATCCTATTGCCTCAGACTCCCAAGTAGCTGGGACTATAGGCATGTGCCACCATGCCCAACTAATTTTTTCTATATATAGTTAGTTGGCAATTAATTTCTTTCTATTTATAGTAGAAGAGACAGGGTCTCACTCTTGCTCAGGCTGGTTTCAAACTCCTGACCTTGAGCGATCCGCCCGCCTGGGCCTCCCAGAGTGCTAGGATTACAGGTGTGAGCCACCACTCCCAGCCCAGAATCAAGATTTTATGTCCCAGTCTCCCTTACAGCTAAATGTGAGCATGTAGGCATGCTCCAGCCAGTAGGGTGGCTGTTATTTATAATGTCTGGGAAATGTCCTTAAAGCAGGAGACATGCCTCTCCTCCCTCTTTACTCCTCTCTGCTAGCTGAAATGTAGAGGTAGTAACTGGATCTGAAACAGCTATCTTGGAACACACAGATAACTAGGAAATGGAGGCACAGATAATTAGATGTACAACACAGAAAAGGACTGATCTTCAAGAGGCCGAAACAGCGCTGGCTCTACCTACCCAAGTATGTGCATGAGAAAAATAAACATCATGCTTTAATTAAGCTGATACGATTTTGGATTTTCTATCGTTTAAAAGCCAGAATTCTGGCCGGGCATGGTGGCTCACTCCTGTAATTCTAGCACTCTGGGAGGCCCAGGCAGGCGGATTGCTCGAGGTCAGGAGTTCAAAACCAGCCTGAGTAAAAACAAGACGCCCTCTCTACTATAAATAGAAATTAATTTGCCAACTAATATATACAGAAAAAATTATCTGGGCATGGTGGTGCATGCCTGTGGTCCCAGCTACTTGGGAGGCTGAGGCAGGAGGATTGCTTAAGTCCAGGAGTTTGAGGTTGCTGTGAGCTAGGCTGACGCCACGGCACTCATTCTAGCCTGGGCAACAAAGTGAGACTCTGTCTCAAAAAAAAAAAAAAAAAAAAAAGCCAGAATTCTAACCAATATAATTTGTATATGTGCCTGGATAGATGAGGAAACAATTAAAATAACTAATACCTCTATCTAGCAATCTTTAAATATATGTAACATATCTGACCACTGTAGAATTCTGTTGCCTCCAGAGGCTCTTTATGTTGCCCAGCTGGTACCTTCAACTCCTGGGCTCAAGTGATCTTCCCACCTCAGGCTCTAAGTAGTTGGGACTACAGGCAGTTACACTGCAGAGGGAGCTCTTTAATATATTTTTTAAGACAACTTTGATAAGAACAGTAACAATCATCTTTTTCCCAGTTATAGAAGTAGAAAAATTCATTTTTCTACTCAAAATATGGGCAAAAAGGTAAGATTTTCTTCTTCCTGCTTTTAGATTAAGGAATGGGCTTCAAGAGGGATATCTATTTTTAGCAATCTCATCGAGCAATCTCATAGGCTATTCCAACTAGATGGAAAAAAATGGATCTGAGAAACTTAGATTTGATGACGTCCATTTAACAGGTTAAGAGTCTATAGAAAGAGCCTCTGGGAGCAACCAAAATCTCCACAGTGGTCACACAGAAGTTCAACCTCCAAGCCATTCACAGTAAATCACCCTAACATGGTACAGCAATAAAAGAAACAGTAAACCAGAGGATATCAATAATCTGGACATGCTTAGTATCATTCTAGTCTCAAAACTAAAAAGACACTAGTGTGACATTCGATGTCGAAGATGAACACACAGTGTAAGTACTTTTATATTCTTTTTTTTTTTTTTTTAAATTTCGGCATATTATGGGGGTACAGATTTTAAGGTTTCAATAAATGCCCTTTCCTTCCTCCCCCTGAGTACTTTTATATTCTGATTAAAGTTTTTTTTTGTTTGTTTGTTTTTTGAGACAGAGTCTCACTTTGTTGCCCTGGCTAGAGTGAGTGCCGTGGCGTCAGCCTAGCTCACAGCAACCTCAAACTCCTGGCTCAAGCAATCCTCTGCCTCAGCCTCCCAAGTAGCTGGGACCACCAGGCATGCACCACCAGCCTGGCAATTTTTTGTATATATATTTTTAGTTGGTCAATAATTTTCTTTCTATTTTTAGTAGAGACGGGGTGTCGCGTCAGGCCGGTTTTGAACTACTGACCTCAGCAATCCGCCGCCGCGGCCTCCCAGAGTGCTAGGATTACAGGCATGAGCCCCACGCCAGCCTGATTAAAAGATTTTGAAAGCCTCCGAAGCTATCAAGAGCATGTCTACTTCAATGTGTAGAACACTCATAACACTCAGAACACTCATAACATTCAACTTATGGTAAAACAATGAAAACATGTAAAATATTCCTATGTGCAATTATCATTGCAGTATTAGTGTCTATTTCAAAAAAAAGAAAACTTAAAAAGAACAGTAACATTCAACACGACATGATTTATACTAGAAGAAAAAAAGTAGGAGCATGAGGTGGAAGGTTGCTTGAGCCAGCAGGTTAGAACCAGCTTGAGCAACACAGACAGAGCCTGTCTCTACAAAAAAATTTTTTAAAAAGCAGCCGGGTATGGTGATACATGCCTGTAGTCCAGCTACTTGGGAGGCTGAGGCAGGAGGATCACTTGAGCCAAGAGTTCATGGTTATAGTGAGCTATGATCAATCACAATGCTGTATTCCATACAACATGGATAACAGAACAAGGCCCTGTCTCTAAAAACAAACAAACAAAAGAAACCCTACTAAATGCATGAGCATTTTTCTTTTTTTTTTCTTTTTATTTTTGAGACAGAGTCTCACTCTCTTGCCTGGGCTAGAATGCCATGGAGTCAGCCTAGCTCACAGCAACCTCAAATTCCTAGGCTCATGCAATCTTCCTGTTTCAGCCTTCCCAGTAGCTGGGACTATAGGCACATGCCACGATGCCAACTAATTTTTCCATGTATTTTAGTTGTCCAGCTAATTTTTCTATTTTTAGTAGAGACGGGGTCTCACTCTTGCTCAGGCTGGGCTGGAATCCTGAGCTCAAAAATTCACCACCTCAGCCTCCCAGAGTCCTAGATTATAATCATAAGCCACCATGCCTGCCTGAGCATTGTTTTTCTTACCAAAAAGCATCATATAAAAACATACTTATCTCCATCCATAATCTTTGTTTTTCTGTGATGTTTAGGATTTCCACAGGCACATCGAGTTCAGATCTTGACTCATAAGATATGCTTCCATCATCATTACTGACAACACGTCCTTGCGGCCAGTCATCTGAGAAAAACAGCGTCATAAGCCATACGACTATGGTGCTTAGAGCTCAGTGCCTCCTTCACTAAACTTTGGATAGAGAAACACAGGTTGTGCTGCACCAGGCACTGGGGATACTGAACACTGGCACACAGTCCCTGGGAAAAGCAACTTGACCACAAAAGCTGCAGGACAAATACATACATGAGACCAGTGGCTCTAGACATTCAGATGCCTGGGGCAGAACTTCACTGGTGCTAGGGGACAACTGAAGTACAACAAGGTTCTAAGATACACGTGAAAAATTTAGACAGGTTATTATGTCATGATACCACATTCATTTTACAGGGGTAAAAAAAAGGCCAAAATGTTACTAAGAAGAGACACGGCCCTGATCAAGTCATATTTACCTCAGCAACATTCTCAGGGCCACCAAGTTCATCAATAAGTTATCCAAGGTATTAGGAGGAAGGTCTTCAGCTAATTTCTAGCTTATCAAGTAGGTCTTTCTTCATCTGCTGGCCCTTTCCACAGCATCCTGACTTGTTATAAGGCTACTGTTACTATTGGTGTTACTGTTAGCTAAACAAAGAACATTAATTAAAAGTCAGTACAAAGTTTAAATATGTGTTTTGTTTAAAGTATATTTCACAGACAATGCGAGTTTCTACACTGATTACCTGGTGCATTGTTAGGAGCAGGTGAGATAACTGGTGTAGACGAAAAACTAGGTCGTTTTGATCCAAGACCTGATGCTAATAAGGCACTTTGAATAGAATCTGGATCTATACTTTTCTTCTTTTTTTTATCTTGTTTTTCTTGTGGTCTTTTCTGATTAACCAGGGATCTGGGTGTTAAGGAAAGAAGTACATCAAATGATTTGTTAAATATATAGAGTATTTAAAACGTATAGAATCTTTAAGGAAAAAAACCCTTGAAATGTTTTGTATTATTAAACCATTAGCTTATAAATGATCACATCAACTACAGTAGGCTAGTACGTCCCATCCATACACCATGGCATACAAATCTACATTGTGAGGTTAAAATAACTCCACAAAATTGAGTCATACTCTCACAAAGATGAGGCTCAAACCTCCAGATGACAATCTGGAGCTCCTCACCAAAGCAAAGATTAGAATCTGTGTGATCATTTGTGCTGCACAGAAAAAAAGGTTGTAACACTTCACTTTTAAATACACTGGAGCATGAACTATCTTTCAGTTTACATTAAATATACTGATGAATTTACCGTCTTCATCATCCTCACTAGATTCGTCTCTAAATGGGTTGAAATCATCATCATCTCCAGAACTCATGTTTTTAGAGCTCTCGTAGTCACTTTCTTCATTATCAGAGGCATCAGATTCACTTCCACTGTCATCAGAACTGCTACCAGTAAGGCCACTTACTTTCCGTGATTTTTTGGCTTCTCGAGTTATTTCTTCACCTACTCCGAAACCCCAAAAAAGAGTCAGCCCAAACATGTTTCTAAAGATTCGAGATAATACATTTAGTTCATAAGTTAATACAAATGAAAAGTACAGAAAAAAAGCATTTATATAAGAATACAAAAACAAAATTCACAAATAAGTGCTAATGTTTTGGACTCATCACAATAATGAATGTGATTATGTTCAATTATTCTCAAGAAGAAATTAGACACATAAGTACTAACTCAAGGTTGCCTTAATGTGAACAAGTGTCAAAGCAAATTCAGGACAGAAGTGTTAAAACAGAATCCCTGGCACAGTGTCATTTTAACTGTGTATCAGATTGTGAAACGAGGCCTAACAGACCAGATATGGTGGATCACGAATTTAGGGAGGCGCATTTGAAGCCAGGGGCTTAAGACCAGCTTCAGCAACACAGACCCCATCTCTACAAAAAGAAATTTTAAAAATTAGCCAGGTATGGAGGCTCATGCCTGTAATCCCAGCTACTCAGGAGGGCTAAGATGGGAGTATCCCCTGAACCAAGAATTCCAGCCTGGTCAACTTAGAGAGATTCTATCTGTATTTAAAAAAAAAAAAAAAAAAAAAAATAGCCATATAATTGTAGGTTTACAGACATCAATACTTAGAAAATCCAATTCATAAAACCTCATTTCTAAAGGTGAACGATGTGCTGATTTGAATTATTTAATATACAGAAAAGATATCCGAAACAAACGACCAAGGATTGGGAACAGTGCTCACACCTATAATATAATGCCAGAGCTTTGGGAGGCTGAGGCAGAAGGATCCCTTGAGCCCAGGAGTTTGAGACCAACCTGGGCAACACAAACAGCGCATGGCTCTACTACCCAAGTTGTGCATGAGAAAAATAAACACATGCTTTAATTAACTGATACGATTTTTGGATTTTCTATCATTTAAAAGCCAGAATTCCTGCCGGGCATGGTGGCTCACTCCTGTATCTACACTCTGGGGCAACCAGCAGGGCGGATTGCTCGAGTCAGGAGTTTCAAAACCAGCCTGAGCTAAAAACAAACGCCCTCTCTACATAAATAGAAATTAATCTTGCCACTTAATATTCCAGAAAAATTATCTGGCATGGTGGTGCATGCCTGTGGTCCAGCTACTTGGAGGCTGAGGCAGGAGGATTGCTTAAGTCCAGGAGTTTGAGGTTGCTGTGAGCTAGGCTGACCCACGGCACTATTCTACCTGGGCAACAAAGTGAGACTCTGTCTCAAAAAAAAAAAAAAGCCAGAATTCTAACCAAATATAATTTGTATAGTGCCTGGATTAGACTGAGGAAACAATTAAAATAACTAATACCTCTATCTACAATCTTTAAAATATGTGAACATATCTGACACTGTAGAAATTCTGGTTGCCTCCAGAGGCTCTTTATGTTGCCCAGGCTGGTACTTCAACTCCTGGGCTCAAGTGATCTTCCCACCTCAGGCTCTAAGTAGTTGGGACTACAGGCATGTACCACTGCAGAGACAGCTCTTTATATATTTTAAAACAACTTTGATAAACAGTAACAATCATCTTTTTCCCAGTTATAGAAGTGAAAAATTCATTTTTCTACTCAAAATGGCAAAAGGTAAGATTTTCTTTCCTCTTTTAGATTAAGGAATGGGCTGTCAAGAGGTGATATCTATTTTAAGCAATCTCATCAGCAATCTCATAGCTATTCCAACTAGATGGAAAAAAATGGATCTGAGAAACTTAGATTTGATGACGTCCATTTAACAGGTTAAGAGTCTATAGAAAGAGCCTCTGAGGGCAACCAAAATCTCCACAGTGGTCACACAGAAGTTCAACCTCCAAGCCATTCACAGTAAATCACCCAACATGGTACAGCAATAAAAGAAACAGTAAACCCAGAGGATATCAATAATCTGGACATGCTTAAGTATCATTCTAGTCTCAAAACTAAAAAGACACTAGTGTGACATTCGGATGTCGAAGATGAAACACACAGTGTAAGTACTTTTATATTCTTTTTTTTTTTTATTTTCGCATATTATGGGGGTACAGATTTTAAGGTTTCAATAATTGCCCTTCCTCCTCCCCCTGAGTACTTTTATATTCTGATTAAAGTTTTTTTTGTTTGTTGTTTTTTGAGACAGAGTCTCACTTTGTTGCCCTGGCTAGAGTGAGTGCCGTGGTCAGCCTAGCTCAAGCAACCTAACTCCTGGCTCAAGCAATCTCCTGCCTCAGCCTCCCAAGTAGCTGGAACCACAGGCATGCACCACCAGCCTGCAATTTTTTGTATATTATTTTTTTAGTTGGTCAATTAATTTTCTTTCTATTTTTAGTAGAGACGGGTTCGCCTCAGGCCGGTTTTGAACTACTTGACCTCAGCAATCCGCCCGCCGCGGCCTCCCAGAGTGCTAGGATTACAGGCATGACACCCACGCCACCTGATTAAAAGATTTTGAAAGCTCCGAAGCTATCAAGAGCCATGTCTACTTCAATGTGTAGAACACTCATAACAACTCAGAAACACTCATAACATTCAACTTATGGTAAAACAATGAAACATGTAAAATATCCTATGTGCAATTATCATTGCAGTATTATGGTCTATTTGTCAAAAAAAAGAAAACTTAATAGAACAGTAACATTCAACAGACATGATTTATACTAGAAGAAAAAAGAGGAGCATGAGGCGGAAGGTTGTTGAGCCAGCAGGTTAGAAACCAGCTTGAGCAACACAGACAGAGCCTGTCTACAAAAAAATTTTTTAAAAAGCAGCCGGTATGGTGATAACATGCCTGTAGTCCCAGCTACTGGGAGGCTGAGGCAGGAGGATCACTTGAGCCAGAATTCATGGTTATAGTGGAGCTATGATCAATCAAATTCCTGTATTCCATACAACATGGATAACGAACAAGGCCCTGTCTCTAAAAAACAAACAAACAAAAGAAACCTACTAAATGCATGAGCATTCCTTTCTTTTTTTCTTTTTATTTTTGAGACAGAGTCTCACTCTCTTGCCTGGGCTAGAATGCCATGGAGTCAGCCTAGCTCACAGCAACCTCCAAATTCCTAGGCTCATGCAATCTTCCTGTTTCAGCCTTCCCAGTAGCTGGGCTATAGGCACATGCCACGATCCCACTATTTTTCCATGTATTTTATTGTCCAGCTAATTTTTCTATTTTTAGTAGACGGGGTCTCACTCTTGCAGGCTGGCTGGAACTGCCTGACTCAAAACAATTCCCCATCCTCACTTTGTTGCCCAGGCTAGAGTGAGTGCTGTGGCGTCAGCCTAGCTCACAGCAACCTCAATCTCCTGGGCTCAAGCGATCCTATTGCCTCAGACTCCCAAGTAGCTGGGACTATAGGCATGTGCCACCATGCCCAACTAATTTTTTTCTATATATATGTTAGTTGGCCAATTAATTTCTTTCTATTTATAGTAGAAGAGACAGGGTCTCACTCTTGCTCAGGCTGGTTTCAAACTCCTGACCTTGAGCGATCCGCCCGCCTGGGCCTCCCAGAGTGCTAGGATTACAGGTGTGAGCCACCACTCCCAGCCCAGAATCAAGATTTTATGTCCCAGTCTCCCTTACAGCTAAATGTGAGCATGTAGGCATGCTCCAGCAGTAGGTGGCTGTTATTTATAATGTCTGGGAAATGTCCTTAAAAGCAGGAGACATGCCCTCTCCTCCCCTTTACTCCTCTCTGCTAGCTGAAATGTAGAGGTAGTAACTGGATCTGAAACAGCTATCTTGGAACACACAGATAACTAGGAAATGGAGGCACAGATAATTAGATGTACAACACAGAAAAGGACTGATCTTCAAGAGGCCGAAACAACACAGTGACACACTGTCTATACAAAAAAACTTTTAAAAATTAGCCATACATGGTGACACATGCCTGTAGCCCCATAGTCCCAACTGCTTAGGAGGCTGAGGCAGTAGGACTGCTTGAGCCTAGGAATTCAAGGTTGCAGTGAGCTATGATGACACCACTGTACTCTAACCTGAGCAACAGAGCAAGACTCCTACTCTTTAAAAAAAAACAAAAAACCCACAATCAAAACTAAGAATATTAAAAAGTTCCCATATTAATGAGATGGTGAAAACATAATTCAGGAAAAAGAAATGTGACGACTTGGCCATCCTAAGAGCCACTGATTCTAAGACACAGTATTTTTTTTTGTGCCACTAAAATAAATATTGCCAATTAAACTATAGAACATAGTTTCAAGCGTATTAAAAATGTGAAAAAACACATATGTTAGAATGGATGAAATACAATCAATGGGACAGGTGCTATATTTAGAACACACAGTACCACAGTTAATCTCTACCAATGTATTACGTTGGTATTACTATTTTATTTCCTGACTTCTTGGAAAAGTGATTCAAATATTTCAGCCTATTTATTTTTTATTTTATTTCTTATAATTTCAGAATTTTACAGGGGCACATACATTTTGATTGTGTAATTTGCTTTTGTACAGTTTGAGTGGAAGATGTAACTGCCCTTCACCCAGTTAGTGTGCACTGTACCTGTTAGGTGTGAATTTATCTATCCCCTCCTCAGTATTACCATTTTAGAGAAGAGAGCCTGAAAAGTTAACTTCTCAAACACCTTAGAAAGCACCTAAACACAAATTCAAGTTTGCACTATTAAAACTGTTTAACAGGCCGGGTGCGGTGGCTCACACTTGTAATTCCAGCACTCTGGGAGGCCGAGGCGGACGCACTGCTCGAGGTCAGTTTGAAACCAGCCTGAGAAAGAGCAAGACCCCTTCTCTACTATAAATAGAAAGAGATTAATTGGCCAACTAATATATATAGAAAAAATGAGCCGGGCATGATGGCGCGTGCCTGTAGTCCCAGCTACTCAGGAGGCTGATGCAGTGGGATTGCTTGAGCCCAGGAGTTTGAGGTTGCTGTGAGCTAGGCTGACGCCATGGCACTCACTCTAGCCTGGGCAACAAAGCAAGACTCTGTCTCAAAAAAAAAAAAACAAAACTGTTTAACATAAGTGAATTTATTCCTAATAATTTAAGTAAAAACAGGAGCTTCTTTTTAAAATGACTATTATTAAAACACCCAATTATTTATTTTTTTTAAGAGACAGGGTCTCACTCTGTCACCCAGGCTAGAGTGCAGTGGCATGATCATAGAGTACTGCAACCTCAAACTCCTGGACTCACAAGATCCTCCTGCCTCAGCCTCCCAAGCACTTTGATTATAGCCGTGAGCCATTCCTAACCCACCCAGTTCTAAACATGTTAAAAGACAGGTTTGTTTGACAACAGAAAGAATCAGATTTTAGTTCCCGTGCCCTTCCCTATGTGTGTGACTCTGGGAAAATTCCTTAACCTCTTAATCTTTGTCCTTTAGTGTACATTTCTATAAAACTTGTAAAATAAGTCCTAATTTCATACTGACTCCTAGTGGGTTACATGATAGAATGGATGGCCAAATGCTTACCATGTTGCCTAGCACCACTGAATCGCTTCAAGTCCTAATTTAAAACGGGTTAACTTATACATTCAAAACTATAGAAGTGGCAGTGAAAACACGCAAACCTTTGTCAATCTGAGGAAGTAGTTCCCTCTCAAAATACAGCCACTTTAATATCCTCAAACTTATGGTACTTTCAACATTAGCTATTTCTGTAGAAGTACTCACCTTTCCGCTTCTTTATTTTATTTTCTTTACAAGGACTATCTCTTGGTGAACTGTTGTTACTGGGAGCTGTCAAATCGATTCCTAGCAAACTATAAAGTTTTTTCCTGTCTGGAGCAGGGAAGTGTTTTTCAATGAGTGACTGCAACACTCCTCTGTAGTAAAGAAACAAGGAAAATTACTGCTTCATTTGGCAAAATAATTCAGTATATGTAAAATATTATTGAACATATCTCTCACAAAAAGAAAAATACTTTGTTCAATCTTACAAAATAATGGTAACCCAGCTCAAATGAATTTTAATTTTCTGGGCCAAGGCCGTCGAATTGAGTAACAATGCAGGCCAAGCCACATGCACAATTTTTCATTTTCTAGTAGCTACATTATAAAGTAAAACTGGTGAAACTAAGTTTAATAACATATTTTATTTAACTCAATATACCACTTTGATGTATAATCAATGAGATATTTCACATTATTTTTTCTGATGGAGCCTTTGAAGCCATGTATTTTACACGTATAGCCATCTCAATTTCGACTAGTCATTTCAACTGCTCAGTAGCCACATGTGATGAGCAGCTGCCATTTTGGACAAGGTAGCTCTAGGCATTTGTGTACAGAAAAATACAGATTAGTAAACACGTTTTGCTCTTTTTTTTTTTTTTTTTTTTTGAGGCAGTCTCACTCTGTTACCCAGGCTAGAGTGCCGTGGCATCAGCCTAGCTCACAGCAAACTCAAACTCCTGGGCTCAAGCGATCCTCCTGCCTCAGCCTTCCAAGTAGCTGGGACTACAGGCACGCACCACCATGCCCGGCAAATTTTTTCTATATATATTAGTTGGCCAATTAATCTCTTTCTATTTATAGTAGACATGGGGTCTTGCTCTTGCTCAGGCTGGTCTCAAACTCCTGACCTTGAGCAATCCTCCACTCTGGCCTTCCAGAATGCTAGGATTACAGGAGTGAGCCACCACACCCAGCCATGTTTTGCTCTTAAAAGCATTTGAATGTATCCCCCAAGGCAAAAATCATACAGTAGCAAAATGTTATTTTGCTAATTTTACTACTACCGGAGTGAGAACTGGTAGGTTAAACTAATTGAAAACAATGGCTAAAACATTTATTGAAGCTCTTTTTGAAGATCTCATGCTTATTTCCAATTTTTTTAGCAGACCTTATTATATTGGGGCAAATTACAGTTAATGCTTCTCTGGATATCGGTAATTTCAAATACACAAAACCATAGGTAAAACTAAATCAAGCTGTCACAGATTTCCAAGATGTACAAGACAAACAAAATCAAGCTCTTGTCATTCCACATACTGTGTATAATACTGGCAAAATAGTTAACATTCTAGGATTATGAGATTTTTATGCTATTGTTTTCCAACACACATACTGTTACAGAAAAATACAGAACTGCAAAAACTCATCAGGAAAACGTAAGGATTACACAGCTGAATCAAAAGAGTTGCCCCCAGGTAATGCCAACCAACATTTGAACTAATCTAAGTAAAAACTCAAAAAACAAAGAAGACATTACTTGGCAGTTGAAACAAAATCATTCAATTCTCCCCCGCCCTCTTCTAAAGCTTCTAAAGTTCTAGCTTCTCCTGTAGATTGCAGACCAATTACAACACACTGCAGAAAAAAAGAAAATGTGTTAATTATAAATAATGTCTGTGGTTTCTTACCAAAACATATTTTAAATATTTAGTTAAAAAGAGATTCAAAGAAGAATCTCATTATAGTAAAGCACACATTTGTTTCACTTGTTTATTCTATATATTTGAGATATGTTGTTTGTCAAAGACTTAAGCAGGAAATAGGATTACAGTTGTGAGCAGGACTGAAGACCCTGACCTTATAGAGTTTACTATCTTTTGTGCTTTAAGTATATACATATTTGCCAAAAATAAAAAAACCTTAAGGCAATACACATCCATGTCATCAGTGGTGATAACTATGGATGACCAAATTATAGTGATGATTATTTTATTATACTTTTATTGAGCTATCTAAACTCTCTAAACAAGCACTGCTTTTATAATTGAAAAAATGTATTTTTAAAGTCTTACTACATTAATATTTTTATAACTATCCTTTAGGAAGATCAGATTTTACAAGTAGAAAACTTCAACACACACAAAGACTTAAAAACATAACCAAAAAGAATCTCTTAATGAGCTCCAACTTACTTTTCCATTCTTGATTTCTTCTCGAGCTAGCTGCACAACCCTTTTAACTTTGGATGCTATGCATAAGTATTTGAAAAATCTCTGGTGAGCAGACCAGAACTGACCCCACATGGACTTCTTCATTCGTTGCTCAGCATCAATCAGATCTGCAGCTTGCTGAAATCGCTCTCTGGCAATAACCCACTGAAGATACACAATCAACAATTCAGATATTTCATCTGAGTGCAATTATTTAGAAATGACTGATTTAATCAAAATAATGTTCATCACACATTTCTTTTAAATAAATAAATAAATAATCTAACAAATCATCTTCTATAAATTCGGAATCTCTAAATAATTGTTTTTCCTAGGATGCTCAGATAGAGTGGTCTCAAATTAGGACTGCATCCTAACGTAGTCATTCTAGAAAACAGTTATATTGTTATTTTAAGAACTATGCAACTGATATAAATGGCTATTTTTTTGAATTAGTTTTAAAAAGTGAAAATTTAGAAAATAAGGATATTGGTTCAATACCCTGTCATCTGGTAATTTATCTATTTGTTGTTTTTTTGTTAAACAGCAGAAACATATTGCTGTGGGCTGACATATAATGGACAAAGCAAACAGAAACATTATCAGACACATTAAATAAATACTAGGAATTAAGAAAAACTTCTCACCAGTTTTACTGCTTTGTTATACATTTTAACATAGCTCTGAGAAAGAAGAACTTCCTCAATTTTAAAGGTCACTCCAGTAAAGCTCAGCTGTCGTGCAATATACATTCCTCTAAGCTTCATATCCATAGCAACTATTTCCATGGCACCAACACCTCTGAACAAAATTGAAACACACAGTAACTATCAATAAAGTAGGATTTTACATGCAGTAAAGAGGTTTTAGCAGTAACACATTTCTTAGATTGCTGAGACCAGTACATACGATAAACTCCATTACCTCCGTTCTACTGCTTGAATAAAATCACTGAATTCTCTAAATGGAGTCCCCTCACCCCATATTCCAAGACGGTTCATGTAGGCCATGTTGCGTGGTTCAGAAGCACCTGAAAAACCGCCAAATGAAACACATTATAGCTGGGGGAAAAAAAACCCACATATATCTTTTAAAATAAATAACTACTCACCAGTGGCACTAGCATAAACAACTCTGGCTTTTGGCAATTTGTTCTGAAGCTCTAAAACTGCTAAACCTGTCTTGGTTGGCTTTGAGGAACCAACAGGACATAAATTTTTTGCTTTATGACATTCATCAAACACTATCTGTAAGGAATGAATTAAGGAACACATCACATTAGTAAGTATCTCTAATCTTCCAAGTAATAGTTAACTTTTATTTCCCTGAGGTTTTCAGAGTGTCTTTTCCTTTAAAATTACAACTATACCTAGCACTCTGGGAGGCTGAGGCAGGCAGATCGCTCAAGGTCAGGAGTTCAAAATAAGCCTGAGCAAGAGCGAGACCCCGTCCCTACTAAAAAAAAAAAAAAGAAAGAAAGAAAGAAATTATTAGGTCCACTAAAAATATATAGAAAAAATTAGCTGGGCATGGTGGCGCATGCCTGTAGTCCCAGCTACTCGGGAGGCTAAGGCAGAAGGATTGCTTGAGCCCAGGAATTTGAGGTTGCTGTGAGCTAGGCTGACGCCACAGCACTCTAGCCCAGGTAACAGAGTGAGACTCTGTCTCCAAAAAATAAATAAAATAAATTAATTAATTATTTAATTAAATTACAACTATAAAGGAAGCTTCCTCCCTCTTTAGCATCAAAGGAACCCACTGAATTTGGTATTTGTCTTAGCCAGATATGTAGTTCTTAATTAGAATGAAGGGGAAAGCCCACTACAGCAAGAATAGTTATTATTTTGGTACATTCTGTTAAGTAGAAAGCATGATTGAAAACCAAGTTAATCAGCAATTCAAAACTTGGTGTTCCTCATGCAGGATAGCATAAGATATGCTGTGAGCAAGTAAGCCAGTGAATCACTAAGTTAACTGTGTTCTTTTCCTTAGTCTTTGCAGGTACTTTACTATGTAAACATGCAATGTGAAGTCCCAAGAGGGAAATACAGTATTCAGCATTCTCCATATCCATTAACATTTTTCTAAACCAGGAGCTTAAATATCGGTCTCCTATCTGACAGATATAAAATAGAATCAACTTCCTAACCCCGTTGGACTCTATGTAATCAATAAAGCTCTCACTCCAGAATTTATTTAACCTCAAGATGCCTGTTTTCCAAAGGTCTATCTTTATATAGTTTTTTTGTCATTAAAATATGAAAACATTTGCTGTAAAGGATACCACTCCATCGAAGTCATCACCGCACCAATGTAGAAGTTGCTTTAACCTTGTTTTATATTTACCGCCGGACTGGCTCTCACCAATAAGGGAAGAGTAGGTAGCAAAAATAACACCTTTTTTCACACTCCCATTATGTTTAGAAGAAATTTTTCCATATTTAAACTAAGAAAAGAAAAGAGAAGAATTAGTATGCCTTTCTCTCAGAAACATTTAACCCATCCAAACTCCTACAAGCAGGAAGTCTTAACCTGGTAGGCCCATGACAGGTTTCAGAAAAGTCAAAGTACCACCTAAGATGATACACGTAATTTTTTATATATACATATATGTACATACACACACACAACTTTGTGGTATAAGGATCTAGTTTCCGAAGTCTCCAATCTAACACCAAAAAAACATTAAAAGCCACATAGATTACCCTATAAGGAAAAAGTCAAAATATTTACTCTTCAAATATTTATTATGTACTTAAAATATGTATAGTATTGTGATTAAGTTCTGAGAGATACATAAGAATTATAAGTAATAGTTAATGTGACCTTCTTCAATTACACTGCTCAGAAATCAAAAACATTTCTAGATGCCAGTTACACGCTTTTAGTTCTGAACTGTTTGTATTCAGAACATAGTACTTTAACTACCAATCCATCCAGTAAAACCCACCGAAACAAGCCACTGGTGAACACAGCAACAATGAATCAACTTAGGAATCATGGGGAAAGTAGACTTATAGTTACTTATTCAAATGGCTAGTATAGAGAGGCACTTGCAGGAACCATATCTGTCTATTCTACCCTTATAACACCAACAATTAGTGCATGTACAGTGGTCAATAAAGACTTGCTAAGCCAACATTAAGATTCTAAAAGATGCTGGCACACATTTTCTTTCACTTTATTTATTTATTTTTTTTTGAGACAGAGTCTCGCTTTGTTGCCCAGGCTAGAGTGAGTGCCGTGCCATCAGCCTAGCTCACAGCAACCTCAAACTCTTGGGCTCAAGCAATCCCACTGCATCAGCCTCCCGAGTAGCTGGGACTACAGGCATGCGCCACCATGCCCGGCTAGTTTTTTCTATATATATTAGTTGGCCAATTAATCTCTTTCTATTTATAGTAGAGACGGGTCTCGCTCTTGCTCAGGCTGGTTTCGAACTCCTGACCTCGAGCAATCCACCCGCCTCGGCCTCCCAGAGTGCTAGGATTACAGGCGTGAGCCACCACGCCCGGCCCACTTCACAAAATTTCCACATAAGTACAGGCACAAGTATTCAAGTTCACTAGCTATACAAATTTTGAAACCAGTCTTCCCAAGCCACAATTCTGTATATGCTGCCTAGGATTTGGTGACCCACAGTGCTAGGCACACTGCTTCTCTACACTGTGCCCTCACATACACATAGAATGGTATCTTTATCTTTATTTATTTATTTTTTACTGACAAGGTCTTGAACTCCTGGCCTCAAGTGATCCCTCTCACCTCAGCCTCCCACATAGCTGGGACTATCGGTGCAAACTATTGTGCCCAGCTAAAATTACTTTAGAAACAAAGACAAATACGATACTGAAGATTTAGAGAGCAAATTGGTGTGCATTTTACACTTATAGCACATCTCAATTTAGACTAGTCATTTTAACTGCTCCATGACAAGTGGCTACAGCCTGGCAGAGTATTTAGCACACGGTAATCCACAAACCAACAATAGCAGCTAGCACCAACTATCCTTTTTGTAGAATAACCCATTTAATCCTCATTAAAACTGTACAAAATAGAAATTATTATTCCCATCTTACGGATGAGTTAATATTTACCAAACGATCAACTGAATAGAAAATTTTCATACCTTATTTAATGAATGGACCAAAATGTTTTTTGCTCCAATATCCCTCAAATCTCTTTCAGCATCATACTTTAAGTCATTTGAAACACTAAACCTGCCCCCAAAAAAGAGAAAAATTAAATGCAAATTACATCATTCTATCAGAATTCAGGAATAAATAAGGCCACGTCTTGACATTTCAAAAAAATACAAGTATTCATGAAAACCCATTCCCACATGCAAAAGTAACTATTCACCCACAAAAACTTCCTCAGCCAGTCTTTAACACTTACCATAATGCTCTCTTTCTACTTAATAAATAATTTTCATAGATGATTCCTGCTATCGTCCTTCCTTTTCCTACACCAGCACCATCACCTATTAAGAAGCCAGCACGATCTCCATTAGGGAGGAAAGTCTCATGTTGCTGAAAAAGAAACAGCTAGTATTTAATCCTTCAGGTTATTTTGGTGATCAATATCTCATACACTGTTATAGAAATTTACTGACATTAACTCTATTTTATATGGATATTTTCTATGTATTTACTATATATTCTTTCCTGCTACTCTACCATGTACCATGTAACTAAAGTTTAAAAAATGGTGAGGATTCCTCCATATCCCTTTTAACACTTGCATAATCTAATACAAACTTTTAAATCACACATAAATACAGGGATAGTTGGCTATTTTGGTCATTAATTATTTTAAGGATACAGATTTTGACTGAATCATTTCAAGACAAGTAGTGTATAACTCTTAATTCACAACCTTTTAAAAGCCCATACAATACCCCAAAGTAAAGTAATAACACAGTTTATTCAATCACCCCTCAACAGTGTAGGTGCTCAAATCTTTTCCAACTAAGGGGGAGAAAGCTACAACTAATATCTATATATATCTTCTTATCTAACAGACCTATGGAATACATTCCTAGGTATGGAACTGCTAGGTCAAAGGATATGTGTGTTTTTTCATTTTAATAGATATTCCCAGTAAATTCCAAAAAGGTTATGACACTTGTCATTTCCACTGGAAATGCACTCTCCACATTCGTGCTATACCCTTTTATTTTTCTAACACATAAAACTTTTACAAAAATAACAGTTACAAGATTTTTATCAAGGAAAACTTACCTTTGGATTAGAACAATTATATAAACTAAGATAAAAAGTAAATATTACAGATAACTATAAAATACTATCGCTTACCTGGGCTGCATATGTAATTGCCTCAAGCTGTAATGCTGACAACCAGCCATTATCAATGGTTTCTTCAGAAATGGATGTTTTGTACCAAACATCAGGAGGAGTAACACTGGATAAAGAGCTAGTTTCCACTACAGCATCTGGGTGACGTAAGCCAATTTTTACTAAATAAAAATATAAAAATATTCCATTTTAATTATTCTGAGTAATAACGTTTCTAGTTTTAAGATACTGCAATTTTTTCCCATGATGGAGAAAATATAATATGTAACAATTCATTTGGAGCCTCTAATAAAAACTCACTGCTGGTAAAGTACTGTTTAAATTTGATTAAAATGATTTATCATCTACATATGGTTGAAATGGACTTGTTGACAAAAAGATCTACAAAAACACCATTGTAGTTAATAACACAAGATTCTCCAGTAGTAACAAGAACATAATCCTATATATTAAAAATTGTTAAGTTACTTCAATCATTTACCTTGATTCAATAAAACACATGTGCAATATAATTTTACTCTGAAAATATTTGAAAGGAAACTTTGGCTAAGAAAATAAACACCAACTAACTCCCCAAAATGTACAATGTGAACAGGTTAAAATGATGGAAGGTAAACTTTTTCTATATAGGGTCAGGTAATAAATGTTTCTGGCTTTGCAGGCCATCTCTTGTATAACTACTTCACATTGCTGTTGTAGTTATCAAAGCAGCCGTGCACAATAAATAAGCCAAAGGGGATGACTTTATTCTAATAAAACTTTATTGACCAAATCAGGCAGTGATCCAGATAGTTTGCTGACCTACATGGTCTCAAGGGCCATGGATAAACTCTTTTAATTCTTATGAAAAATCTATTATTTGGGGAGGAGGGAGAAGCAAAAGCTCAGACACTAACACCTAACACTCATTTTAAATCACTAGAAAAGCATGGGATCTTGGAGTCCGCCTGCAGTTGGTGAAAAGACAATTGTAGCTCAATTTAAAAAGTAGTATTAGTAGCTTTTTATAAAATCAAGAGTACATGAAAGACAAATTCCAGACATAGATTTATTTTCTGTTATTACCTCATATAATGAGAAAGTAAAAATGTTATACAAAAGCTAAAAACAATTTTCAACTTCACATATTGGCTACTAAAAAATGAATCATAGTTATTATACAAAAAACAGAAATGGTGTTAATGACAACCACTGATTTCAAATAGCACAAATTATTTTAAAGATTCCAACATTTTCATGATTTTAGACAAGCTGCAAAAAATATACAAAGCTAAGATACATATTTATATCTACAAATTAGCTGATTTTATAATCACTATTCACACAAACAAAATTAACTTGAAACAAAATAAAACCCAAACTTTTTTTTTAGTTTTGCTTTTAAAAGACACCAACCTAAAACAAGGTTCTAAATTTGTATAGGAAAAAAAAAATGCAAAAAACCACAGTAAAACTTTTATGTAAATATTTTAAAAACAGATTACATTTTAAAACATTACAAAGCCCATACTTGTCAAGTCCTAAGGTACCCAACGATGACAGGTCCTAACAGCTAACAATGTGAGTTATTTAAGCTCAAGGGGAACCCTGAAGTTTTTCATTATTTTGACAAATCCCAAAGACATACGTTTTATTGGCATATACTCTGCATAGGTTTCTGCATGACCCATTTCTTCTTCATCTTCTTCCTCTGGCTCATCTTCCTCTTTTACAACAGGGACCTTCTGTAATACAGAAAGAGTATGGTCAATCCCAAATCCAGAGATCGGAGTCCAAACCAACACACAGAACTCTTCTGCAGGAACACCAACAACCTTCAATCTTGCAAACATGCTGTACCACTTCCATATTCCCTAAAACATGGGTCACATTTCATGGCTTCCCTGCTTCTCCAATGATGAGCACAGGCAATGATGACGTACTCTGCCCTTGATACCAAAATAGGTGACTACAGGGCTCCACTTCCTTCCAGCCACCATCGTCTCAAAACTACCTTCCCCACTTCAGTACTGCCCATCACCCTCCCTAATGCCCAGAACCCTCCCCACCCTCAATCGTGCCCTTCATTCCAGTTCCAGAAATAGCAAGAGCAAGGTGGGGAGGGGGACTTGTTCTTTCTTGTCCTAGAAACAAAATGAACCCTAACAAAAGGTGGAGGAGCCCCAGTGCACACCCTCTATCATCATCAGCAGGACCTAAATTTCACACCCCACCTTTTCAGTTCCCTGTCATCTGTCTACTTCCCCTCATATCCTAAAACCAAAATCCCAGAAGACTGGAGTTTACTGATCTTCTGAAGTACAGAAAATTTCCTTCAGACTTTTGTGTCCTCACAGACACAAGAAACACACATATGCATTTGAAGCTCTTACTCAAGGGGAGAGGGAGGGCATGGGCAATATATGTAACCTTAACACTTGTACCCCCATAATACACTAAAATAAAATAAAAAAGAGAACACTCATATATAAGATGGCCACATAATTTACACTTAAAACCTTGGCATAGGTCAGGCGCGGTGGCTCACGCTTGTAATCCTAGCACTCTGGGAGGCCAAGGTGGGCAGATTGTTTGAGCTCTAGGAGTTCGAGTCCAGCCTGAGCAAGAGTGAGACCCCATCTCTACTAAAAATAGAAATTAATTGGCGAACTAAAAATATATATATAAAAATTAGCCAGGTATGGTGGCACATGCCTGTAGTCCCAGCTACCCGGGAGGCTGAGGCAGGAGGACTGCCTGAGTTCAGGAGTTGGAGGTTGCTATGAGCTAGGCTGACACTATGGCACTCTACCCCGGGCAAAAGTGAGACTCTGTCTCAAAAAAACAAAACAAAAAACCTTGGAATATATGAGAGTAAAACGAGGAGCTATTAATAATTACACCAAGAAGGCCAAGCATGGTGGCTCACAATTGTAATACCAGCACTTTGGCAGGCCAAAGCAGGATCACTTGAAGCCAAGAGTTCAAGACCAGCCTGGGCACACACAGCATAGCAAGCATCATCTCTACAACAATAAAAATTTTAAAATTAGCCAGGCATGGTTATGTGTGCCTGTAGCCCCCACTACTCAGCAGGCTGGTGTAGGAGGATCTTTTTTTTTCTTTTGTGAGACAGAGTCTCACTTTGTTGCCCAGGCTAGCGTGAGTGCCATGGCATCAGACTAGTTCACAGCAATCTCAAACTTGTGGGTTCAAGCAATCCTCCTCCTGCCTCAGCCGAGTAGCTGGGACTACAGGAATGTGCCACCATGCCTGGCTAATTTTTTCTATATATATTAGTTGGTCAATTAATTTCTTGCTATTTATAGTAGAGACAGGGTCTCGCTCTTGCTCAGGCTGGTTTTGAACTCCTGACCTCGAGCAATCCCCCAGCCTCGGCCTCCCAGAGTACTTGGATTACAGGCATGAGCCACCACACCTGGCCTAGGAGGATCTCTTGAGCCCAAAAGTTCGAGGTTACAGCAAGCCAAAATGACTATGAAACTCAGTATACCAAGGAAGGAAAGAGGAAGAGAAGAAAAACCTAGTCACCCAGTCTAAACCTACAGGTTAAGGTAAGTTAAGGATAGGTTAAGATGGCATTAAAAGGTAAGGACACGCTTTCTTCTCTACCTCAGAGTCCACAGCAGAATATGCTGGCATACAGATGCTCAATGTGGAAAGGAAGAGAGGTGGGGCACAACCATCCAATCAACACTAACTCGTGGACTCTTCAGATAAAATCTACAAGACTTGAAATGTTCTCATAAATTATGCCAAAATGAAACCCAATTTCAGATATTAGAAACTAAATTGGACTGGCCAAAGAAACAGATCTGAATCCCAATTCTGCTGCTGTTTAATTATGCAGCCTTGAGGCCAGCCATTTAAATTCTGTGTCCTTTCTACCCCCACCTTCTCACCTTTTCCTCATCTATAAAATAGGAATGTATTGTATGCTAAAATAACCAATCTACTTTCTTCCTCCACTCTTTCTTCTTCTATCTAGATATTTTTTTAAAAATCATCAGGGGTATAAGTAGAGAGTAAACTGGTAATACTGAAAGATCACTGAAAAATCCAGGGACCAAACAAGTACATTTCTAAGCCAGGTGGATATGAAATGGCAACTGACATCAAGCTTAGGGTCAAGGATATACCTGCGGGTGAGGGAGACAATGATCCCTAGGATGCCAGCCCAACACACAGCGTGGATGCTCACTACTGAAAACCAGGCAAGTTTTACCTGGTGGGGAATGTGGGCCCAGCATTGCTACATACTCTTATTTTGCAAGAGAACTTGGAAATCAGGATTCATTAATTGATTGATTTTTTGAGACAGGGTCTCACTCTGTCACCTGGACAGCAGCATCACAGCGCACTGCAACCTCCAACTCCTGGGCTCAAGCTATCCTCCTGCCTCTTCCTCCCCAAAAGCTGGGACTACAGGTGCAAGTCACCATACCTGGCTAATTTTTTAATATTTTTTGTAGGAATGAGGGTCAGCTGAAGCTGGTTTTAAACTCCTAGCCTCAAGGGATCTGCCCCCCACTTTGGCCTCCCAAAGTGCTAGGTTTACAGGTGTGAGCCACCACATCTAGCCAGAATTAGGATTTTTATGTATCAGCAACAAATTCAAAATTCTTCAGAAAAGGCTGGGCGTGGTGGCTCACACCTGTAATCCTAGCACTCTTGGGAGGCCAGCGGATCGTTTTGAGCTCAGGAGTTCAGGACCAGTCTGAGCAAGAGCGAGACTCCATCTCTACTAAAACAATTATAAAGAAATTAGCTGGACAAATAAAAAATGTGTATATATATATATAAAAAATTAGCCCGGCATGGTGGCGCATGCCTATAGTCTCAGCTACTCGGGAGGCTGAGGCAGCAGGATTGCTTGAGCCAGGAGTTCGAGGTTGCTGTGAGCTAGGCTGATGCCACGGCATTCATTCTAGCCTGGGCAACAAAGTGAAACTCTGTCTCAAGGAAAAAAAACTCTGGAGGCCAAACCTAACAAATAGTTTCGATCCACAGACTACCAATTTACAATCTCTGTTAGATGTTTCCTAACTGCTAGGCCAACATAGAACCTTTGGTATATTATGGGCCGGAAATGGGAACATAAGCAGTACATAAAAAGTTTCTGGAATAAAATGCATTCTTAGTTTCCAAAAATCAACTTCTAAGTACTGTTGGTACACAACACTAAGTTAACTGGGTACCGCCAGCTCTGGTTCTCCTGGTCCCTGTACAAAACCTCAAGTGCAGGCTGCTGTACTGTCTCCAATTCTACGTTCTGTCACAGTCCTAACCTTCCTTTGGTATTGTCATGTGCAGTCATCTGTCATTTCTCTTTTCCCTTCATACTTTTCCAATAATCTCTGCCTAGTTTAGCTCCTTTTTCCTTTCCTTTTAGATTAACTAACTTCCCAACCTGTCTCTCTTCCCTACACACACCATCCTGTATCACGAGTAGGTTCCCCAACTTACAGTGACTCCTCACTGACACCATGTCCAAAGTCCTTTAAACTCAACTCAGACGCTCCATACAGCCCAAATCTACCATTCTCATTTATTCCTGTGAGACAAGCATCCTGACTTACTGTCACCTAAGTACATAGTCACCACCACTTCCGTGTCTACTAATACTTTAACTCCCCTCCTAAAATGCCCTCTCAAAGTCTCTTCAGATGCAAAACCCAAGCATTACAATTTGGGCATCACACTGTACCTTTATATGCCCTTTATATTACTACTAAATCCAGGCAGTTGTCAGATTTTCCTGGAGGTAGAGTCATACGATATAATTCTTATAGGAACCCACCACACACAGTTACACACAGAGGTTACTAAGTAAATGTATAGAGTCAACTGATCTGAAACATACAGTATTTCCCAAATGTTAAAAAAATTATAAAATTACTCAAAACTATATCATTATATGATCTGACAGCTCATAATTAGCTACATATTCATGTTGAATGCTAAAATGAACAGTTATCAAATATTTTTGGTTCTTTTTTCTGATCAGGTGAGATTCACAATAAAAAGAAGTCAGCACCATGCGTAATACCACATCCTATGAAATCTGCAAGTTTTAACCATGTTTAGTATGTGTTAGCTTATTACAGTAAGGTTTAAGCTTATCCATTAATTTATATAACTGAGTAGCCCCCTTCCATCCAAAAAAAAAGTGTTGTGAGGACTGTTCTAGAGCACTTTTAATCAAGTGTACTCACATTCTACACCAAAATAGATACAACTATTGGAAACTCACCATGGTTGGGGAAAAACTCCTCATTTTCATGTCATTTATCCATATTCTCGCTACTTCTTTATTAGAAGACTCTTTTTTTATTGTACCATTGCTTACATCAGCTGAAAGGGGAAAAAAATCAATTTATATTTTTAAAGGAAATTGCAATTTCTTTTCCTATAGTTTAAAAATTATTTAAAGTTTACCCAATTCACAAACCAAAGAACATCAATCTGCCCATCACTAAATGAAATTAACCACAGGCATTAAAACATGGAAATAAGAATTAACTTTAGAGAGGTAGGGTGCAGAAATGAAATTTTTAAAAAATTAACTTTAGTAAGTCAAAAGAAAATGTGTGCATGGGAAATTTGAAAAGGATTTATCAGAAAAAACCTTAACCAGGCTGTTTGATAGTTTAATATAAATACTAAGAGGCAGACCAAGCCCAGTGGCTCATGCCTATAATCCTAAAACTCTGGGAAGCCAAAGAGGATTGACTGAGCTCAGGAGTTCGAGATCAGCCTGAGCAAGAGCGAGACTCCATCTCTACAAAAAATGGAAAAGAAAAATTAGCTGGGAGTATGGTAGCACATGCCTGTACTTTCAGCTACTAAGGCAGGAAGATCGCTTCAGCTCAGGCATTTGAGGTTGCAGTGAACAATGACAATGACACTGCACTCTACCCGGTGCAACAGAGCAAGACTGTCTCAAAAACAAAAACAAAAAAACCACAAATACCAAGAGTCAGTATTACTTCTAGACACTTCGCTTGGCTCATTACAAAAAAAAAAAAAATAGGCCGGGCATGGTGGCTCACACCCGTAATCTTAGCACTCTGGGAGGAATTCAAGACCAGCCTGAGCAAGAACAAGACCCCATCTCTACTCAAAAAAAAAACAGAAAGAAATCAGCTGGACAACTAAAATTATATATACACACACAAATTAGCCAGGCGTGGTAGTGCATGCCTGTAGTCCCAGCCACTCAGGACTCTGAGGCAGGAGGATCACTGGAGCCCAGGAGTTTGAGGTTCCTGTGAGCTAGACTGATGCCACGGTATTCTAGCCCCAGCAACTGAATAAGACTCGTCTCAAAAAAAAAAATAATTACAGGCCAGGCGCGGTGGCTCACGCCTATAATCCTAGCACTCTGGGAGGCCCAGGCGGGCAGATTGCTTGAGATCAGGAGTTCGAAACCAGCCTGAGCAAGAGCGAGACCCCGTCTCTACTATAAATAAAAAGAGATTAATTGGCCAACTATATATATAGAAAAAATTAGCCGGGCATGGTGACGCATGCCTGTAGTCCCAGCTACTCGGGAGGCTGAGGCAGCAGGATTGCTTGAGCCAGGAGTTCGAGGTTGCTGTCAGCTAGGCTGATGCCACAGCACTCTAGCCAGGGCAACAAAGCGAGACTCTGTCTCAAAAAAAAAAAAGAAAGAAAAATAATTACATAAAATAAAATAATAATAATAAAAATAAAAATAAAGAAAGAAATAACCACCTGGTATTCTCATCAAACTGAAATCAATCTCACCTGATTTATTGGTACTTACAACTTTCAAGGCAAAATAATTATTTCAAGAAAAAAAAAATCTGGGACCTCATTTTCCTCCTGCCCCCAGAATAAAGATCCAAACAATGGACCCTTTCTTCTTCTACAGTGGTGGTTTTCAAACTCTTTTTAAATATAGCAATAGAATCCTGGAATCGAAATATCAACCAGCAGGAATCGCTTAAATGAATTGGGCTTAGGGGACAGGAGTGTCATGTCCAGGACCCCTGTAACCAGACCTTAACCTCCAGTATCTTGGAAGTACTTCCAGTACCTGGAATTCTTCGGATGACAGTGTGAAAACCACTGTCCTTAAAAACAAGAGGTAACAGTGGAAGGACTGATTAGCATCTTACCTATTCTACCAAAAGATGAGTAGTTTGGAGCTATCACTCCAAAATGAGTGGGACTAGGCCGGGCGCGGTGGCTCACGCCTGTAATCCTAGCACTCTGGGAGGCCGAGGCGGGTGGATTGCTCGAGGTCAGGAGTTCAAAACCAGCCTGAGCAAGAGCGAGACCCCGTCTCTACTATAAATAGAAATAAATTAATTGGCCAACTAATATGTATAGAAAAAATTAGCTGGGCATGGTGGCACATGCCTGTAGTCCCAGCTACTCGGGAGGCTGAGGCAGAAGGATTGCTTGAGCCCAGGAGTTTGAGGTTGCTGTGAGCTAGGCTGACGCCACGGCACTCACTCTAGCCTGGGCAACAAAGCGAGACTCTGTCTCAAAAAAAAAAAAAAAAGAGTGGGACTAATTAAAGTATTAACAAAATAAGGAAGCTAAAAAAGAGATGTTAAATTTGTTTGCGGGCATGATTTGTTTACTAACTGCGGAAGAGCCAGTGATCAATCAGTTCACAAAGATACAAGACTAGAACTCAAGTAAGAGATCAGAATCCAAAGAGAAACCCAAAGAGCCAAGGGCTCCAAATGGACAACACCCACACAGATGACAGAAGAGCAGGCAAAACTTTGTTCTCCAGTTTCATAATTTCAACGTTCTCTCCCTTCGGCAAAAAGACGATCCCCTTCTTCAACATAAACCTTTGCTTATCTTCAGCATTCATTTACAATGTTTCTTTTTCAGTCCTGGTCTAGTCTGACAAGAGTTTCTCGGGTGTCCATACAAGTAAAGTCTTGATTTACCACCTTTTATCTTTTAAAAATTACGACCTTGAATGTGGGAGAGTTTACTGGACTACATCTTACACAACCAAATCTACCCCACTTTGTTTTGCTCTCCAAACTCTTTCCTCACAACGGCACACATCCACTCCAGTTATGATGGCATATGCTTCTTTGAGGAGTGGAACACTCAGGAAGCCACCCATATAAAAGGGACAGGTTTCCTCATTCAATCCAAAGACCCTAACAAGAAGCATCTGCCACTATCTACTGATGGAGCCCCAAGTCCTGGAGGAGCCATTCCAGATGCTGCCTTGCACTTTAGTCAGGTCAGGGACACAGTCCTGCGCTCCATGGCAGAAAAAGGAAATCAATCCTAAGACAGTTAAAATGATTTTACAACTGGCATTTAGCTGCCAGATTGCAGTTTTAGTTCAGGACAATGACCCTGAGAGTAAAAAACTACAGTCATAAGGTCATAATGATATGGACCCAAACACAAAGATTAGGAGTATCTGAAAATTTTAATTTCATGTTACTGGAAACAAAGTTCTATATCATCCTACAAACATCTCCTGCCCATCTTTTTAGAATGCCCCTCGCTCTCTAGTTATAAAAACACAAGCACATTATAACTTCCAAGCAGTCCATTCTGTCACAAACTTACAAATTGTTTTGTGAAGCATTAAAAATTATTTCCCACAAATAGAAAAATAAAGAAGCTCTTTGAAAACAGAACTGTCTATTCAATATCCATCACCTCTGGTCGGGCGCGGTGGCTCAGGCCTGTAATCCTAGCACTCTGGGAGGCCGAGGTGGGTGGATTGCTCAAGGTCAGGAGCTCAAGACCAGCCTAAGCAAGAGCAAGACCCCGTCTCTACTATAAATAGAAAGAAATAAATTGGCTAACTAAATATATATATGCATATAAAAAAAATTAGCCAGGCATGGTGGTACATGCCTGTAGTCCCAGCTACTCTGGAGAACGAGGCAGGAGGACTGCTTGACCCCAGGAGTTTGAGGTTGCTGTGAGCTAAGCTGATGCCATGGCACTCCAGCCCGGGGAAACAGAAGTGAGATTCTGTCTCAAAAAAAAAAAAATATCCATCACCTCATCCCAAGAGCCTAATAGGATGGCTATGTATGTACTAGCATAAATCATCAGGAACATGCCTTATAGCTCATCCCCTTCATTCTAGCCTCCTGATCCCAAAACACAACAATCCCAATTAAACTGACCCCAAAACAAACAAAAACAAAAACATAACCAGTCCGGTGCTAAAACTGTAAAATACTGGTCAGCTCAGAGTATTTCAAGTCAGGGTTAGTTATCTCCAATAGTGCCCACCATGGTATTGTTACATAATAGGGACTCAAATACTCTGTAACTCAACTGAGAACGGAAGAAAAGAATCTTCCTAGAAGTTCACATTTTTCAGTTTCTAAAACTAAAACTACACTACTCAAGTTTCAAATAGCCAAAGTGAAAATAAAAAAGGACAGATTAATTCTATTTTACCCTTAAAAATTCCCTTACTACTAAACTGAATAAGAAGCTTCCTCTGATCACTCCATTGAAAACTGTATCCTCTTACTGCCCCACACCCCACCCTTCATTTCTCTCCAAAGCACTCATCCTTATCTGATGTAAAATCTACTTTTTCTTATTTTTGGAGCCCTGAGTAGAGTGCCATGGCAACATCTTAGCTCACAGCAACCTCAAACTCCTGGGCTCAAGGAATCCTCCTGCCTCAGCTTCCTGGGTAGCTGGGACTACAGGTGCATGCCACCATACCCGGCTAATTTTTTCTATATTTTGTAGGGATAGGGTCTCACTCTTGCTCAGGTTGATCTCGAATTCCTGAGCTCAAATGATCTGCCCGCCTAGGCCTCCAGAGTGCTAGGATTACAGGTGTAAGCCACCACTTGACCATAAGCACCAGATTTATTATAAAGGATTAATAAAAATGTTAACTGGTTTTTCATAGTATGTAAAACTGAGACAATCTCATGGTGGTAATACAGCTACCTGATAATCTGACAAACTTCATTTCAAAGCTAAACACTCTATCCAAGCACCTAAATAAATTTCTGTTTTTCTTTAACTGTGCAAATGCTGTAAGTGTACAAGTTAATGGAGGGAATACCTCTTTCATGCCTATTTCTTTTAAAACTCAAGAAAATCCTTTAAACAAACCACTTTGACACAGCTTATCAAAGTAGAAAAAGTTGATACTACTGAAAACAGACTTACTAGCTGCTGTGGCAACTGGCTGAGCAATATTGGCAGGTGGCTTCAGTTTCATGAGTTCATTAAGACTATTATTTTTGAGTAGATCCTTCAGTTGAACCTGGTCTTTTGAAGGTGCAGAGGTCATGGCATTTCGTACTGCTGGTGCTGAGACTGAAGGGCGTGTGTTTGCAGTGGTCTGGATAAACTTAGTTAAAGTGATAGTTTGCCTGTTGGTTGTTACAGGTGGTGTTTTAGTCATTACAATTGTAGATCCCAAGGTCGGAAGCTGGTTTATTTGATTCAGTACAAATGTTGTAGTAGACGGAGGCTGCTGCTGGAAAACAAAAGACATTACGCCACTGAAAAATGCTTTATTCTCTAAGGCCTACATTCATAAACACAGTGGGCCATTTAGAAATCTAAAATTGACTTTTACTCTTATCTATTGGCACCTCATTTCTAATTTAATTTGATTAGCTATAAACTACCAAGTTGAAAGGCACCACTTTGAGAAAAAGAAGGTATAGTAGCAGTGTAGCATTTTATATAACCACTGGGGACAACACGCATAAAATGGAACTATTCCAAGCAAACTGTGATGTATAGTAACCCTACATAATAAAAGGACTGGTAACTGAAAGAATTTCTAATGCCACAACTGCCCCAACCAGGTAGATGACCTTAAACCCCTGGAGGCCTGGGTTCTCTAAGACACATTTTCTGTTTTTAACATTCTGTGATTCTTGTTCAATGCTTTGTTTGCTGTCATACAGACCACACTAAAGTTTAGAATATAAAAAGACAAAAACAACCAAGCAGAGTTTTAAATTCTTATGTTCCACAAACAAACCCAGTCAGGTGTAATACAATTACTGGTGATAGCATGGGTGCTATGTTTGAACCTACGACAAAGTTACAGAACATTTTATTTTTCAATGGGGGATAAGGTGGGGAAAACTAGAAAAAAAAATGATATCAATTTGAAGATAACAGTGTCTGTGACTACAAGTAACATTAAGACATTTTTATAAATTTAAGTATATTTCTACTTTCTTTCCTTCTCAAACTATTTATTTCTCCATGACTCCTTTAATAAGAGTCTTCTAGATTACTTTTAACCAAAATTCTCAATAATTTATCACAAATAATCAAATTTTAGCCAGCTTGTCCAATAATTTTATCCCATTAGGCTTCAGTTAATTGCTCTACGTTGAATGTAAGCACAGAGGAACTTTATATTCAAAGCACAATTATAATTCCATAAAAATTATAAATACCAATGGACAAAAGCTGAAATAAATAAGCAAAAAAGGAAAGAGTAGTGGAATAATGTGCATTTAATCTTTACTTTATGAATTTTGTATCATTTGCAATAAATAAACTAAAAAAAGTTTTGTTTGTTCTAATTATCTTTTGATCAACATTAAGTACCAAAGGAGTGAAAGAAATGTTATATAAGGTAGGGGGTAAGGACAGGATATTGAGAAAGTGGCAAAAAGCAGAACTCAGGGGATAAATCTGTTTCACATTAATAGGTCATTTTCTTACTACAATCCTAAACTATTTTGCCAGTAACGCCAAATCTAAAAATTCTTACCCTCACATTTAACAGTGCTGGAGTAGGTACCGTCTCTGGCTCTTGTTTAACAGGAACTGTTGCTTCGGTCTCCAAACCTAGTTCTAATGCACTAAGTGGCACTGACTTGAGAGAAAACAACATCAACGAATTCCATTTTGAGAATAGAGTTGCATTTATTTTAGTGAAACAAAAAAGGTCAAGCCTTACACTCAAACTGAATGTGAAATCACAAAAACCAGATATAACAATCTTTGTAAACATAAATTCGCTACAAAACTAACATTAAAATCTTATTTTTGCTTTCAGAGAATGTATATAGTCAAACTACAGAATAATGTCCCTAAATAAATAACTATTAAGGAAAGTAAAGATACTCCCACACAAACTCTAAATAATTTATCTCTTACGTTTACTGTACACATATATAATAAAGCAGAAATTAATGTCTTGGTTTTCATTATGAATATTTTCCACTTCATAAATGAAAACAAATACTCAACATTCACATATATATTTAAAATTAAGGCTTAATAATATGTATTTCTATAAGTGGAAATTATAAATTAAGAAACATGGGCTTTGGAAAACTCTTACCTGCTGAACTGGAGGGGTAGGTGTTGGAGTTGCAAGCCCTGTATCGCCACCATCAATATCAAAGAGGTCATTCGGACTAATTCCACTTTCACTCAAAGCAGCAAGCAGTAAATCTTGCCCTGGTTCCACCATCTTTAGAATGAAATATTAAATATTAACATAAAAAACTTAAAGTGAAAATATTAACTCTCCTATAAATACATTATAAACAATCCAACATTTTCTACCAGACCCATTCATTCAGTATTTATAAAGAATCTGCTACCAGTCAGACAAAGAGGATAAAAGACAAATAATCTCTGATCCCAGGAAGCACACACTTAAATGGAAAGGACAAAGACATACATAAGTCACAAAAAGAATATATGTCTACAAAAGGCTATGGGAGGCTGGGCATGGTAGCTCACACCTGTAATCCTAGCACACTGGGAGGCCGAAGTTGGCAGATCGCTCAAGATCAGGAGTTCAAAACCAGCCTGAGCAAGAGCGAGACCCCCATCTCTACTATAAATGGAAAGAAATTAATCGGCCAACTAAAAATATATAGAAAAAATTAGCCAGGCAAAGTGGCGCAAGCCTGTAGTCCCAGCTACTCAGGAGGCTGAGGCAGGAGGATTGCTTGAGCCCAGGAGTCTGAGGTTGCTGTGAGCTAGGCTGACGCCAATGCACTCCAGCCCGGGCAACAGAGTGAGACTTTGTCTCAAAAAAGAAAAAGAAGAAGAAGAAGAGATGAGGAAGATACTGCCCAAGAAGAAGAGATGAGGAAGATACTGCCCACAGTCTCCTACACCGTGCTAGAGAGTTCACTTAATTCTGTGTGTAACAGGGGTCACAAAAGGGTTTTCAGATGGAGGACTGCTTGACATAGATTTGTGACTCAGGAAAGTTCACTCAAACAGAAGTGTGGAAGCAATCTGAGAGGGGGCAAAATAAGACCAGAAACAGGAAGACATCTCAGGAAACTGCTATGGCAGACCAGGAGAGATGATGTGTTATCATCACAGGGAGTGGAGAGAAAGAAGGGGGGTGGAATGTAATATCTTTGGGAATGAGAATCCACTGGGCCTTAGTTTAAATAAAAACTCAGAATATAAAGCACACCAGAGAAAAAGCAGTTGATGGAGCTGATGGATAATTAGAGTTATGCCAAGAGAAAATTAAAAATAAAAGTTGAGCCCAAGCTACCTGAAGGATGGGTTACATGGAGCTGGGGGAGGCCTCTAGATAACCTAAGAGCAAACAAGAGTTCAGGTCTTCCTAAGTATAATCTTGGGAGCCAGACCAAAGTAATCTACCACCAAAATGGATTTTTACTCAATGTTTTATAGGGAGGAAAAAAAATTAACAGAGCTTTCTCAATTTTAACTTCTCTCATTAACTGCTCTGAAATAATCAATTTATATATACATACTTATGAGAACTCTGACTATACTTGTTTATCTCAGATAACTAATTTTACATTATATAAATAATATACTATTAATAGTTTTCCGCTCATCCATTTGTTCTCAGACTGTGTGATAAAATGAAATGTGTTTCATGATGTCCTACAAAAACAGTGTTACCCAAGAGCACCATGACCATGACTTCTAACATATAAGAACTACTTTAGATGAAAGACACTAACAGAGAAATTCTCTATGTCCATGTCACATATGTTTGTGCATCATTTAGACAAAAGTTCTAATGGAAACATGAATGAGTTTAAGGTGGAGACCACAGATACACATAATGAAACTGAGGGCTACACTCAGTTTAACACTGTTTAAAAGGATGACAGGAATGAGAGATAACTCAAAGATTTCTCCAAAATCTTTCAGAGAAAGGAGAAGTCTAAGGAAGAAAAAATTTTGAGCAGGGAGGAAGAGAAGGAAACAAGCCTGACACAGTGTTAGGCTCTTCATAAATATTACCATTGTAAGCCCACAACAACCCTGAGTGAAAGAGGCAATACAGTTTTAGAGCTTAAACTGAGGATTAGAAATTACCTACCCAAGTTCTCCCAGACAGGGAGCGGTAGAAGATAAGATAGAAACTAGACTGGGGTAGGGAACCTGCAGCCTTTGGCCTTCTAGATCCTTAAATGCAGCTTTTCGATTGAATCCAAATTTTACAGAGCAAATCTTTTAAATAAAAGGATCTAGGCCTGACCCAGTGGCTCACACCTGTAATCCTAGCACTCTGGGAGGCTGAGGCGGGCAGATCACTCAAGGTCAGGAGTCCAAAACCAGCAGGAGCAAGAGCGAGACCCTGTCTCTATTAAAAATAGAAAGAAATTAGCACACAACTAAAAATATATATAGAGAAAAAATTAGCCGGGTATGGTGGCTCATGCCTGTAGTCCCAGCTACTCGGGAGACTGAGGCAGAAAGGATCACTTGAGCCCAGGAATTTGAGGTTGCTGTGGGACAGGCTGACGCCATGGCACTCTAGCCTGGGCAACAGAGTGAGACTCTGTCTCAAAAAAAAAAAAAAAAGGATCTAGAAGGCCGCAGGTTCCCTGCCCCTCAACTAGATAGTTTAAACTCCAAAAGTCCATGGTTTCTCTTTCCAGTGAGTAAGAGTGATGTCGGTAACCTACAAAGTTTCACTACTTTATTTCAGAATAAATGCCAGACTGAGGTAAAAATTGGAAGAAGGATAAAGTCTTAGAAAATAATGTGCAGGAACTGGACAACATAGGTAACAAATAGGAAAAATGTCCTAATATAGAGTTATGATAAAGTTAACCAATTTTCTAAACACAGACATACTTGACCATACTTCACAAACTATTCTAGTACATAGCAGAAATAAGTACCTAGAGCCCTAAATCAATGCTTTAAAAACATTTTCAATCCATAATATACTTCATTAGGACCCACAATCTATGGGGAATACAGGGTCTTGACCCACCCACTGTGGCTAATCTTGATCCAGATTAATAGAATTATGGAGACTATCAAAATGTCATCCTTTAAAGGTAAATACTGGAAACGATTTATGTACATTTGAAACAAAGGTATATTGTTTCAAACCAGTGATTTTTAAAGACGACAGAGCTCTCACAAGCCAAGAGATTCATTAATACATCAGATACACAACAAGCCCTGTGTAATTACACTCAAAAGTACACAAAGGCCGTTAATTAATAAAACGCAAATTCATTGAAAAACGTTACTGAATTCACAAGAGCTTTTTGAAGTATGTTTTCTTAACAATGAGTATTAAAAGTACAAAAATATCATCATGGAAGGAAGAAATTTTAGGGAGAAACTTTTGATGTTTATATAAGAAAAAAATGGCAAAAGTTGCAAGTAACACTATCAGTGACCAGCTCAGAATTCACTCCTAGGAATCACAATTTGATTTAGTCATTTAAAAATGTATACATATAACCAAATATGCTGTACACCATAGACAATTTTTACTTGTCAATTAAAATAACAATTTGAGACCCTCTGATATGAATAATGTCTCAGGACATTGTCTAGGACCCTCTGACCTAGTAACGTCTGTAACAGACATTGTCTTTAACAAGCTATTAATGAAAGAGCTTTTAATCTCTTATACAACTTATACAGAAACAGAATACTAGGGATCTTTTCTCTCTCAGCCAATTGGACACAAATTCTCTCTACTTGATCTTTTTTGCACAGTGAAGGAGGGAAGGGAATGGACGCAGAACACCTATCTCATTCTCTAACTCCATTAGGCAAAACTTTTTTTTAGAGGCAAAACTCTTAATATTTAATATTTCTATTCTGAAACTATTACAGACACACAGAATTTCGGTGCTCAAGCTGAGAGAGCCCTTATAAAGTAATATTAGCCAATCTCGTCCTCCTCCTCCTCATTTTACAAATAAGTAAGACTTATTCCTGGGAGAAAAAACAACATTTTCACTGTGAATCCACAAACTTCAATATAAATGCCAAATACTATTAGGTATAAGAAAACTGTGTTAGTGTCTACAAAGGAGTTCATAGACCTGAATTGACATTTACTGTGTAGCAATCTAACAAACCCAAAAGTTACTAACCGTTACGAAGGCTTCTATCTCAAACAATGGAGAACAAAAAGTTCAATTTTTATCGCAAACACATTTGAAAATACCACCTATTTCAAAATAGCACATCTATGAAAACTTCTGATGAATAAGAAACAAAGACACAGTAATAGAGAGAAACTAAGAGCTATCCTCAGCAGGAAGAGAATACTGAGAAACAATAGCCAACCAGAAGAATAAAAGGATACAGTTCCTATTGATAATACCAACACTGAAACTTATCAACAGGGACAAGGTTCCTCTTGCTGAGAGCTAAAGAGTATCTTTATAGCTCTGAGCACATACAAGGGATATCTGCAATAGCAGTAACCTATCACAGTGGTTGAGACTACTAGGTCAGACAATACCAGGGTTCAAATACTGCTACATTACCTACTAATAGTATAATATGGTCAAGTAATAACCTCTCTTAGTTTCCTCATCTGAAAATGGGAATAAAAATAGAATTTGCCTCATAGGATTGCTGTTGAGTAAATGTTCACTACTAGCTATTAACTATCATTTTGATAAATATTAGTATTTCACCCAAAAAAAGATGCTTTCTTCCATATCACTGACTTAACACTTTATTTCCCAGACTACAAACTCTTGTTAGCAGCCATTCAATAGCAAACTTCCATATTAGTTCTATAAAATACCAGTTCCCTTTTTATTAAGTTGGAAGTGTCACACATCCTATTTGTCCAGTCAATCAATTATGTCTAGGCAAGGCACGGTGGCTCACACCTGTAATCCTAGCACTCTGAAAGGCCGAGGCTGGCGGATTGCTCGAGGTCACTAAAGTGATTTGATACATCCTACTACAGTCGTACTCTGTTTAGTTGCAGACCAAAAAACAAAAACAAAAATAAGAGAATAAAAATTATGAATATAAAGTCTAGATAGTATTAAGAAATCTTAGGAGGAGAATTGATGTCAGATCCTCCATGAGTTTAATCGCTCCAGAGGTTACTTTGTTTTATATGGGTTTTTTATTTTTTAAGACGGTAGTCACAATCTGTATCGCCAGGCAGAGTGCCCCGTTCAGCTATGTCTCACGCAACCTTCAACTTAAGCTGCCTCTAAGGCGATCCTACGCCTGCCT